ACCTATGGGACCCTTTAGCTGAGGCACCCCGGCGTCCTGTTGGGCATACAGAAAGCACGTCTTGTAAACAGACATTGTTATAGGCCCAGTGCACGATAGCACAAAGCCTCTGGATGTTTTTAAACAGAGGCTGGATGGCCATCTGTCAGGAGTGCTTTTATTGTCTCTCCCTGTTTGTCAAAAGGGGTTGGATTGGATGACCTTGAAGGTGCCCCCAACTCTAGTATTCTGTGTTTCTCTGATTGCAGGGCAGTAGATGGACGGATCCAACAGAAACGCATGATTTTTCAGGATAAACCGGCAGGCGAATTGACGAATGAGCGTCAGGGGAAATACTTGTTCTCGCTCGACTTGATCAATGTAAAACATATCTCTCCTTCCTCGCCACAATAAAGTGCCCTCGTCCGCCGGAAGGGGAAAATCAATGCCAGACAATACGGATTGCCTAAATTCACCACACGGCAAACAATAAAATATATCGAGTGAGACGCAAGAAATACGGAACGACACAAAAGAGTGAAAGAACCCCTGGGCCTGCCTGGCTAAGCTTATTTCCTGCCAAAGGCATGTTTATTGGGACTTCAATGGTGATCTATCAGGACGACAATCGCTTTGCAATGTTTACGCACAATGAGAACCATAAACAGACATCAGAAGATCCTCCGTTATTTCTCATGGAGGGAATAAGGTTACGAATCCGAATTCAAAACTTGTATGGAATGCTCCCAGTGGGCTCCACAATGTCTCCCACCCCCAGGCACAAGATATATACTTTTTTTGTGATATTATTAAGGAAAGGTAAAGGTTTGCCCTTGATATTAAGTCTAGTCATGTCCAACTCTGGTGCTCATCTCCATTTCTAAGCCGAAGAGCCAGCATTGTCCATAGACACCAAGTTCATGTGGCCAGTGTGACTGCATGGAGCCCCATTACCTTCGCACCAAAGTGATTTGCATGTTTTCAAACTGCTAAGTTGTCGAAAGCTGGGGCTGGCAGTAGAAGCTCATCCTGCTCTCCAGATTCGAACTGCTGACCTTTTGGTCAGCGAGTTCAGCAACTCAGCAGTTTAAACCGCTGCACCACTGGGGACGCTTGATATTATTGTTGTGATAATAATAATGGTAGTTTATAAAAGTCTCAAATAATAATAATATCTTCAAAATAATATCACAATAATCACAATAGGTTAGTAAAAGTTTTCCCCTAGTTGTCCAGATGTGTTCAACTCTGAGGGTTGCTGCTCATCTCTATTTCTAAGCTGAAGAGCTGGCGTTGTCCGTAGACGCCTCCAAGGTCATGTGGCCGGCATGACTGCATGGAATGCCATTACTGTCCCACAGAAGCGTTACCTATTGATCTACTCACATTTACATGTTTTCAAATTGCTATGTTGGCAGAAGCTGGGGCTAACAGCAGGAGCTCATCCTGCTAAACCACTGTTCCACGGGGGACTCCAATATTATTATTATCGTGATAATAATAATAGTAGTAGTTTACAAAAGTCTCAAATAATAATAATATCACAAAAATAATATCACAACAGGTTAGTAAAAGTTTTCCCCTGACATTAAGTCCAGTTGTGTTGGCACTCATCTCCATTTCTAAGCCAAAGAGCCGGCGTTGTCTGTAGACGCCTACAAGGTCATGTGGGCAGCATGACCGCATGGAGTGCCATTACAGAAGCGGTACCTATTGATCTACTCACATTTGCATGTTTTCAAATTGCTATGTTGGCAGAAGCTGGGGCTAACAGCAGGAGCTCACCCCACTCCCCGGATTTGAACCACTGAACTTTCGGTAAGCAAGTTCAGCAGCTCAGCGCTTTAATCCGCTGTGCCACCGGGGGCTTTGATATTATTATTACTGTGATAATAATAACAATAGTAGTTCACAAAAGTCTCAAATAATAATAATATCACACAAATAATATCACAATAATCACAATATCACAATATTATTATTATTGTGATATTATTATTATTTGACAAATGACCAGCCACTGCCAGAAGGGACAGAGAGTTTCATCTATGCTGATGATCGTGCCATTACTGCTCAAGCAGGGAGCTTTGAGATGGTTGAACAGAAGCTCTCCGAAGCTCTAGGTGCTCTTACTGCCTATTACAGGGAAAACCAACTGATCCCTAATCCATCTAAAACACAGACATGTGCCTTTCACCTTAAGAACAGACAAGCATCCCGAGCTCTGAGGATTACCTGGGAAGGAATCCCATTGGAGCATTGCAGCACACCCAAATACCTGGGAGTCACTGGACCATGCTCTTACCTACAAGAAGCACTGCCTGAACATTAAGCAAAAAGTGGGTGCTAGAAACAATATCATACGAAAGATGACTGGCACAACCTGGGGATCACAACCAGACACAGTGAAGACATCTGCACTTGCGCAGTGCTACTCTGCTGCTGAGTATGCATGCCCTGTGTGGGTATCAGCCAGCACGTCAACGACTTAAATCAAGACATAGTTTTCTTAGATCTACAGAGACACTCACTGGAACACCTCAGCAAGCGAGAGTCCAAAAGTGGCAAGCCCAAACCCAGCACCTCAATCCATGGGTGATACCAGATGAGAGACTCCCCCCTGGGCACACAGAAGACTGGGCGACTTGGAAGGCGCTGAACAGACTGCGCTCTGGCACCACGAGATGCAGAGCCAATCTTAAGAAATGGGGCTACAGGGTGGAATCCTCAGCGAGAGTGGAGAAGAACAAACCACTGACCACCTGCTGCAATGCAACCTGAGCCCTGCCACATGCACAATGGAGGACCTTCTTGCGGCAACACCAGAGGCACTCCAAGTGGCCAGATACTGGTCAAAGGACATTTAACCAACTACCAAATTTGCAAAATCTGTGGGTTTTTTTCTTTTTCTTTTTAATCTGTGTGTTTGTTTTGCTCTGTTAGAATTGTAATAAATGGTATGGTTGCTGATGACACGATAAATAAATAAATATTATTATTTGAGACTTTTGTAAATTATTATTATTGTGATATTATTATTATTTGAGACTTTTGTAAAATTATTATTATTATTATTATTCTTGCTCACTTTCTGCTGTAAAGCAAGAGTCAAAGTGATTTATTTTAATGCAAAAAAAATAATCCAAAAAAATGCAAGATGCCTTGCAATTTGGGGAAAAGCAAAAAGTGATAATAAATTAACGAATGCATGAAACAAGCAGAGAAATAAACCCTTGCTGAGTCTTTTTGAGGAAGAGAGAGTGGGTTAGACATAAAGTTATTATTATTGTTGCAAAAATTGGTATGATAAGAAACAAAGATGGCAGGGACCTAACAGAAGCTGAAGAGATCAAGAGAAGGTGGCGAGACTATACAGAAGATCTGTATAGGAAGGATAATAATATTGAGGATAGTTTTGACGGTGTGGTGAATGAATTAGAACCAGACATCCTGAGGAGTGAGGTTGAATGGGCCTTAAGAAGCATTGCTAACAACAAGATGGCAGGAGATGACGGGATCCCAGCTGAACTCTTTAAAATCTTGAAAGATGATGCTGTCAAGTTGATGCATGCCATATGCCAGCAAATACGGGTAACACAAAAATGGCCATCAGACTGGAAAAAAATCAACTTATATCCCCATACCAAAAAAGGGAAATGCGAAAGACTGCTCAAACTTCCGTACAGTGGCCCTTATTTCTCATGCCAGTAAGGTAATGCTCAAGATCCTGCAAGGAAGACTCCAGCAAGACATGGAGCGAGAGTTGCCAGATGCTCAAGCTGGGTTTAGAAAAGGCAGAGGAACGAGAGACCAGATTGCCAATATCCGCTGGATAATGGAGAAAGGCAGGGAGTTTCAGAAAAACATCTACTTCTGCTGCATTGACTATTCTAAAGCCTTTGACTGTGTGGATCATAATAAATTGTGGCAAGTTCTTAGTGGGATGGGCATCCCAAGCCACCTTGTCTCTCTCCTGAGGAATCTGTACACGGACCAAGGAGCAACAGTCAGAACTGACCACGGAACAACAGACTGGTTCAAGATTGGGAAAGGCGTACGGCAAGGCTGCATCCTCTCACCCAACCTTTTTAACTTGTATGCAGAACACATCATGCGAGGATGGGCGGGGCTGGATGAATGCAAGGCTGGGGTGAAAATTGCTGGAAGAAACATTAACAACCTCAGATATGCAGATGACACCACTCTGATGGCCGAAAGCGAGGAGGAGCTGAGGAGCCTTCTAATCAAGGTGAAAGAGGAAAGCGCAAAAGCCGGGTTGCAGCTAAACGTCAAAAAAACCAAGATTATGGCAACAAGAATGATTGACAACTGGAAAATAGAGGGAGAAACCGTGGAGGCCGTGACAGACTTTGTATTTCTAGGTGCAAAGATTACTGCAGATGCAGACTGTAGCCAGGAAATCAGAAGACGCTTACTTCTTGGGAGGAGAGCAATGTCCAATCTCGATAAAATAGTAAAGAGTAGAGACATTAGACTGGCAACAAAGATCCGCCTAGTCAAAGCCATGGTATTCCCTGTAGTAACCTACGGATGTGAGAGCTGGACCTTAGGGAAGGCTGAGCGAAGGAAGATCGATGCTTTTGAGCTGTGGTGTTGGAGGAAAGTGCTGAGAGTGCCTTGGACTGCGAGAAGATCCAACCAGTCCATCCTCCAGGAAATAAAGCCCGACTGCTCACTGGAGGGAAAGATACTAGAGACAAAGTTGAAGTACTTTGGCCCCATCATGAGGAGACAGGAAAGCCTAGAGAAGACAATTATGCTGGGGAAAGTGGAAGGCAAAAGGAAGAGGGGCCGACCAAGGGCAAGATGGATGGATGGCATCCTTGAAGTGACTGGACTGACCTTGAGGGAGCTGGGGGTGGTAACGGCCGATAGGGAGCTCTGGCGTGGGCTGGTCCATGAGGTCACGAAGAGTCGGAGACGACTGAACGAATGAACAACAACATTGTTGTTGTAATTATTGCTGCCGATTTTTATGAACCCCGAAATGCCTTCCTTACCTCATCGAATGGAGCTTCATTCTCGCAGTTCTCGAGCACTCTGGTGTAGAAGGAGAGACCTGCAACAGCCAAAGGGAAAAACAAAAAAGAGAGAATATATTTAGTATTTGCAAAACACTGCAGAAGGTCCTGTTGACGAGAATAAAGGAAGAAAATGCAATGAGCATACAGTACGGTCAAGGCAATTTTACGCTGCATCAAAAGGAGTAGAGTTTATTTATTTATTGTATCAGAAGCGAACCAAGGGTACAATTGTAATGTATTTAAAAACAACACACAAAGTTTAAAAACTTGGCATTATACTAAATGTCATTTGACCAGTAGAATCATAGAATCATAGCATCAAAGAGTTGGAAGAGACCTCATGGGCCATCCAGTCCAACCCCATTCTGCCAAGAAGCAGGAATATTGCATTCAAATCACCCCTGATAGATGGCCATCCAGCCTCTGTTTAAAAGCTTCCAAAGAAGGAGCCTCCACCACACTCCGGGGCAGAGAGTTCCACTGCTGAACGGCTCTCACAGTCAGGAAGTTCAGATGGAATCTCCTCTCTTGTAGTTTGAAGCCATTGTTCCGCATCCTAGTCTCCAGGGAAGCAGAAAACAAGCTTGCTCCCTACTCCCTGTGGCTTCCTCTCACATATTTATACATGGCTATCATATCTCCTCTCAGCCTTCTCTTCTTCAGGCTAAACATGCCCAGCTCCTTAAGCCGCTCCTCATAGGGCTTGTTCTCCAGACCCTTGATCATTTTAGTTGCCCTCCTCTGGACACATTCCAGCTTGTCAATCTCTCTCTTGAATTGTGGTGCCCAGAATTGGACACAATATTCCAGGTGTGGTCTAACCAAAGAATAGGGCATGGGGAGCATGACTTCCCTGGATCTAGACACTAGGCTCCTATTGATGCAGGCCAAAATCCCATTGGCTTTTTTTGCCGCAACATCACATTCCTGGCTCATGTTTAACTTGTTGTCCACGAGGACTCCAAGATCTTTTTCACACGTACTGCTCTCGAGCCAGGCATCCCATTCTGTATCTTTGCATTTCGTTTTTCCTGCCTAAGTGGAGTATCTTGCATTTGTCACTGTTGAACTTCATTTTGTTAGTTTTGGCCTATCATCTCTCTAATCTGTCAAGATCGTTTTGAATTCTGCTCCTGTCCTCTGGACTATTGGCTATCCCTCCCAATTTGGTGTCGTCTGCAAACTTGATGATCCTGCCTTCTAGCCCTTCATCTAAGTCATTAATAAAGATGTTGAACAGGACCGGGCCCAGGACGGAACCCTGCGGCACTCCACTCGTCACTTCTTTCCAAGATGAAAAGGAAGCATTGGTGAGCACCCTCTGGGTTCGTCCATTTAACCAATTACAGATCCACCTGGTGTTGCTATAAGAAGGTCCTCCATTGTGCATGTGGCAGGGCTCAGGCTGAATTGTACTAAGTGGTCTGTGGTTTGCTCTTCTCCACACTCACATGTCGTGGACTCCACTTTGTGGCCCCATTTCCTAAGGTTGGCTTTTCATCTCGTGGTGCCAGAGCACAGTCTGTTCGGTGCCTTCCAAATTGCCTAGTCTTCTATGTGCCCAAGAGGGAGTCTTTCATGCAGTATCAGCCATGGGTTGAGGTTCCAGGTTTTAGCCTGACACTTTTGGACTCTCGGTTGCTGGCTGATATCCAAATGGAGGATGAGCTGGATATTGTTGTGGCTTAGTTTGAGCCTGAGCTTTCTGAGCTTGAGTTTCCTCAGGACGAGGAGGGTGATGGGTTACAGATTTCTGAACATGTCCCTGCTGTTGATGCAGACAATGTTGATTCTGAAGACGAGACGGCGTTTCAGTTTCCCAGGGAAAGGAATGTTGTTTTAGATGATGGTCATGATTTGAGTGAAAGTTCCCAGCTGCAGGTGGAGGAGTCGACCGCTCCATCTGTGAGCTCAGTACCTGTCGATTCCCAGCCTGGCCAGTCCCAGTATAATGAGCTGTCCGGCCTTGAAGGTGATGGAGATTTGCTTAGGGAGGACCGTTTACAATTAAGGGTATGCCGAAGTGCTCGGCTTGCCAACAAACGGGAGGTTCGAGGTCAACGTAATGCTTTCATGCTAGGAAAGCATATTTAACGATCTGTGTGAAGGCAACCTTTTGTTAGTGTAACTTTGCTTACACCCTGTTAACTTCTCTGGAATTTGCCTCGGCTTTTGGGGGAAGCTTTTGGCTCTTTGGGACTTTGGTTTTGATCTTGGCTTCTGGGGACTCTGTCATGCTGCCATGGATTCTTGTTTGACCAATGCTTGTGGATTATACTTCATGTTATTTGCCTTCAGACCTTGGAAACTCTGCCTTTGCATTTAAGACTCTGTTTTGGCTATTGGACTTTTACAACCTTATTTCTATGTTTATGATTTTGCTTTTTCTTCAATAAACTACAAAACCTATAGCCTTGGTGTGTGGTGTTGTTCTGAGGAAGGTGAATCTATCCTGAGTTGCGACAGATATGTCACTGCCTTGGTCCTTTCATGATTGGCTGCTACTTCCCAGCGGATGTCAGGAGGTGCAGTACCAGCTAAACTGTAATTTCTCCAGACACCCCCGTGATAACCCATTGCACAACTGGGGGCTCCAATGAGGCACAGCAGCACAAAAACCAATGCAATCCCACGCTGCATCTGTTGGAATGAATGCAATTTGACACCACTTGAACTGCCTTGGATCCATGCTATGAAATCATGGGAGCTGTGGTTTACACTCTTTTGCAAAGCACTGTTTTGTGAAACTGCATCTCCTATGACTCCATAGCATCGAGCCAAGGCAGTTCAAGTGGGTGTCAAACTACATCAGTTCTAAATGGCAGATGCACCTTTGTGGTTGTCTTTGTGGGCCATGCAGAATCTCAGCATGCAATCAAGCTCATGTCTGGTTAGAACAATGCCCCCCATAAGCTGTAGATGTATCTATTGGAGGTTTCACACGGGGATATTTCTGAAGCATTGTAAGGCATCGCGGACATAACAAGAATTACACAAATGCATTGCCTTCATCTCCTCTTTAAGACAGGTTTGCTATAAGCACATCAAACTTTGAAAAGCTGTGAATTGGGAACCAAGACCCTGCGAGACGGCGGAGTGCCTAAGCGGCCGACGGATGATCTAAAATGCATGAGAAACTGTTAATCCCAGAACGTCAATCAGAGATTTTCATCCACTCATTTTTTTGCACATCCACAAGCCTTCGCTTAGGTCTCTCCGTTGACAATACATTAGAAGATGACTAATTGGAGTGCCAAAAAGTGTCTATCATCTCATCCAAAGGAAGTTGGCAAACTCGGATGATGATTAAATGCCTTGCCCTCTGGGAATAAAAGAAAACTATTGGGTTCTATTTTGTCATAAGACCAACTCCAATCCCCAAGGAAGAAATTAACATTTGAATCCAATGGAATCATAGAACAGAGTCCTAGAGTTGAAGGAAGTCCCCAAGGCCATCCAGTCCAATCCCTTTGTGCCAAATGAGAAGGCACCATCCAAGCCCTTCTGACAGATAGCCATGCAGCCTCTGTTGAAAAGCCTCAAAGAAAAGGAAATTCCACCCGACTCCAAGAGAACATATTCCATAGCCACAGCCCCCTCTCCACCCAAGTCGACAATGACATTATGTCCTAGTCTCCAAAGCAGTGGAAAACAAGCCGGGCCCCTTCTTCTCATTGGGACACCTTCAGACTCAAGGAAGGCATTTTTGCAATCGATACGGGAGCAAATCTGAATGTGAGGGGCTCTCCTGGGCTCTGCGAGTGCAGCATTCTTCCGAATGAAGCAGAGAGTGTTTGAGGACCGGGACATCCATAGGGAGACCAAGGGGCTTGTTTATAAAGCCATTGTCCTCCCAACCCTGCTATATACAACTGCAAAATGAGGATTGTTTACAGACGTCACACTCAACTCCTGGAACGATTCCATCAGCGCTGCCTCCTGAAAATCCTGCAAATCACTTGGAAAGACAGGTGGACAAAGAAGCAAAGACCACCAGCACTGAAGCAATGCTCCTCCATCATCAACTTCACTGGACTGGCCACTTTGTCTGAATGGCCAAAGATCACCAACTCCCAAAGCAGTTACTCTACTCCGAACTCAAGAATGGGAAATATAATGTTGGGGAACAGGAAAGGAGATTGAAAACCTAAAGCCAACCTTAAAAACTGTGGCATAGACACCAAGACACCAAATCTCTTGGGAAGACAGGTGGACAAATGCCAGCGTGCTGGAAGAAGAAGCAAGGACCACCAGCATTGAAGCGATGGTCCTCCATCATCAACTCTGCTGGACCAGCCATGTTGTCCGGATGCCCGACCACCGTCTCCCAAAGCAGTTGCTCTACTCCAAACTCAAGAACGGGAAACCGGAATGTTGGTGGGCAGGAAAAGAGATTTAAAGATGGGTTCAAAGCTAACCTTAAAAACGGTGGCATAGACAGCGAGAACTGGAAAGCCCTGGCCCTCAAGTGCTCTAAATGGAACTCTCTGCCCCGGAGCGTGGTGGATGCTCCTTCTTTGGAAGCTTTTAAACAGAGGCTGGATGGCCATCTGTCAGGGGTGATTTAAATGCAATATTCCTGCTTCTTGGCAGGGAGTTGGACTGGATGGCCCATGAGGTCTCTTTCAACTCTTTAATTCTATGATTCTATGAAATGGAGGTCAGCTGTGACCAGCAGTGCTGCAGAATTTAAAGAGGCACGAATTGAGGGCAAAAGGGAGAAACGTGCCAAGAGGAAGGCACATCAAGCCAACCCAGACCGGGATTGCCTTCCATATGGAAACCAATGCCCTCACCATGAGAGAAGGTGCAGATCAAGAATAGGGCTCCATAGTCACCTATGGACCCAGCGCCAGTACACCAATCTTGAAAGACAATCCTACTCAGACAACAAGGGATTGCCTAAGTAAGTAAGTAAGCAAGTATGTAAATAAGCATCCTGACATTACATAGGTGGCTACAGACCTTGTAGAACTACAGCTCCCATGATTCCAACACAGATATATAAACCCAATTTTCCTAGTTCCAACAGACC